GAGTCCAGGGCTCTGAGCCCTGCCTCTGGCTGGGCTGCAGCTATGGGGTTGCCGAGTGGTGGCAGCAGCACTGTCCATAGGGCTGTGACCCTCACAAGTGCCTGTCCCTGAGTAGGGTGAGGGGGGTTGCTACTCAAAATGTGCTGGGACTGCTCCCACTGCCCAGGTGGGGGTCTGGGCAGAGGAGAGATCATCCTCCTGCCATAGGCTCCCAGGTTTCCCTCCAAGCTACTGACTTCCAGACCCAGAGAGTCACATGGGGGGCCGAGTGCCTCTCCCTCCCCTGGGGGTATTTGACCAGCTACCCCCCAGACAGCTTTACCCAGAGTTGCAAACAGTAGGGTTTCAGTCTATAGCCTAGATGGTCCTGCAGGCAGCTTCCTGGGACTGGTCTGGATAGGGAGAAATGGGGGATCTGTGGGTAGGGGCAGGGGGAGCAGGTGGAGACAGAGCCCTGGCTTCAGTGAGGCTGCGAGTATGATTTTTGGAGACAACCCAGAGCCACGAGGAGATTCTGAGACCCCAAAGCTGGGCAGGTGGGTGGAAGGGAACTGAAGGGCAGAAGCCAGTACCGGGGCCCCGCCCCCTTCTCAGCTGGAGATAGGGAGAGGTATGCTGCTCACATCTCCCCAGAGAGGTGAGCAGGGTGGCTCTGCTAGCTACCCAAGGAGGGGCAGGAGTGGCTGGGAGTGTGGGGACACTGGGAAGGACCTTCCCAATGGGGTACATTCTGAGGGGCCAGCCTCTGGCTGTCTGGTCAGGGCAGGGCCAGGTCCTACAGATCCCTGGACCCCCAGGAAGCCGGTGGTGGACCAGATCATGGTGGGTAGTGGTTCCATGAGGCAGAGCTGCTAAGGGCAGTGGCCCCTCTAGGACTGGGTAGATGGAGCACTTGTTTCCAGGGGCCATCTCTCTCTCGTCCTCTTCCTTGGCCAAAACTTCCTCATCTGAGCAGGGCAGCAGCACCCACCCACCCCTCGCCATGGAGCAACATGTACAGAGAGGTTGAATCAGAACTGTGGGCATGAGCTGGTGCTGTGCAGAGGGTCCACCCCCAGCCCACCCCCTCCAGCCACTACATCTGGCCTGAGGCAGGAGAAGTGGAGTAGGGGGGAGAAAGCCTCAGGACCAGCTCCAGTGGTTACCTGGGGAGGGTTTGACTCACAGACCTCCCTATCTTGGGGAGAAAGACCATTCCTTCCAGGCTGAGCACAGCTCACAACAGCTCCATCTCTCACACGGCAGCCTGCCTTGGTCATTGGCTTCTCCACCACCCAGGGCATATCAGTGTCCCCCATCCCTACACAACTCCTCTCATCTCCTAGCACACCCGAAATCCTCTCACCTAGCTAGGGATTCCAGCCTGGGGTCAAGCTACTCTTCCCCAGTCTGGACCAGTCTGGGCCTCGTCATGTTCCTCACCATGATCCAGACCCAAAAGGAGACAGGTTACCCTGCCCAGGTTTCTGAGACAGGGGACTCTTCTCTAGGCTGGGGCAGCTTATTCCGGCTCCAGCTGATCCCCCATTAGCTCCATGACCTCCCAGGGCACCATGCACCCTACTGGCCAATAAAGACTCAAATACCAGCCCCTGCTAGTGCTAGTCCAATGGCAGAGGGCAGCAGGTTGCTCATTCAGCTTATGAGCACCAAGGTCCCACTGGCGCTAACCCTGGCCCTGCCCTGGACAAAGGGGACCTCCCTGAGCCGAGAGCTTCCTGAGATTCTCCTCTGAAAAGGCTAATACGTCTCCCTTCTTTCCCTCCCTTCCTGAACCCCCTGCTTGCACAGAGCTTTCCCACATAGATCTACCTGCCACTGACAGTTCCCCAAAGAGGTGAGCAAGACAAGGATGTTGTCCCCATTAGACAGGGGAGAAAATGGAGGCATTGTAAGGCCAGGATAAGGACCAAGGACCTGACTCCCACTCCTTCCAGGCCACTTAACTGCCACCCTGGTGAGAGCCTCATGAGAGTGGGGGTCCCTATGCCCACCAAAGTGTCCACTAGCTCCCCAGCCTCTCTGCCCTGCAAATCCTCAAGGACCTCATGGCATTCTCAGGGACAGAGGGACTCAGTTACTTCCAGGAGTGTTTGAGCCAGGACTTCCAGCCCTGGTTCCAAAGCGGGCATCTGCAGTGTTCCCTGGGCTGGCTGAAGGTTGGGGGGCTGAGGATGCAGAGGAACAGGCAGAGAGGTGGGAGGGGGTTCTCAAAGCCTGGTGATGCTCCTCTCTCCCACCTGCAATGCCTCTCTATCTCTTTGCATGCCCCCATCCCCAACCCGCTGCAGTAAGGAAGGTGGCCCTTAGCATCAAAGTCCTACAACAGCCTCATGGTATCACTCCCTGCCAAAATCTTCATGAGGCTTGCCACTGCTGTCAACATGAAGTCAACCCCCTCAGGCGGGCACACAAGGCCCTTTGCCAACTAGCTTCTGCTGGCCTGTATGGCCTCCTTGCCCAACTTGCTCCACCGTATCCCAACACTCTTAACCACACCTGTATGTCTCCACCCTGGGAAGCAGCAGAGCACAGCCCAGAGACTGGCTGTGGGCTGCTCTAGACACACACATGCTCCCACAGGTACCCATGCACACGCACACAGATGTGCATACATACATACACACACCCTTTATGTAGCCCACCACTCAACTGCATGTGGTTTTCTGACAAATCACACACACATCAGAGCCACCCTTCTGAGCCAGGAAGAGTCCCCCAAATCTGCTTTATGGATCCCTGGAGAGGCCAAGTGTGGTCACGTCACCAGCCCCAAGCCCTTGAGGGGCAGTGGGAAGGCAGAAGTAGATCCCCTGGGTCTGGCTGAGCCCTTCCTGGGCCCCAGGGCCTCTAAGTTCCAGAGGGTGGCAGAGAATAGTCAAGCAGGTCCCAACCAGGTTCTCATCCTAGTTCTGCGGCTGAATTGCTGTGCAGCCCCAGACAAGCCACCTTCTCTCTCCGTATCTCCAGCTATAAAACAAAGGGGTTTGGATGGGCTGACACCTAAGGGCTGTCCAGACCCACTGCCCAGCTGCTCTCAGCTCATGCCAAGTGCAGAGAATGAAGGGGCTTGTAAGGGCTGCTATAGTCAGCGGGGCCAGGCACCCCCCATGGCAAAAGCCTCCAACAAGCCAGGGAAAGCTTCAGGGAATGGAGATGAGGTGGGTGCAAGGGCAGCAAGAACCTGAGCCAGGAGAGACAGAAGCCAAGAGCCAAGGGAGGGAAGCACTTTAATGATCCATAATTGACATTTACGGAGCAAATGAATCCTATGGAACATTCACCATGTGGGGTTTATCTCATTTTATCATCTAGACTGCAGCCAAATATATCCTTTCTTATCTCTGGGGTACCGAGTGAGCAAATCTAATGGGTTAGGCCCACAAATTATTGGGCCCTCTGGGGTCCAATCCAGGCCCTGGCCTCCCAGCCCCCACAAACACAGGTATAGGGAAGGGGCCAAAGGGGAACAGAGGGAGCCTCCAGCAAGACCCTACCCACACCCAAAACCCTGAGCAGGTATGTAAGCAGCCCTGTGCACAAGCAGCATCATGTGTCCTGTGCTGAGTATCTACATGTACACTCACACACGCATTCCCCCCTTGGCATGCTGACATCAACATTTGTGTGCTCACATGCCCACCACACACACACACACACACACACACACACACACACACACACACACACACACACGGGACACGGTTGCCAGGCCCTCAGCCCCAGAGGGACAGAGCATATCTAGAGGCTGCCAGAGGAGCACCAGGGCATAGACACTGCCGTGTGAGGATAACCACATCCTCTGAGACTGCAACCCTAGTCAGCAGGAACTCCAATGCCAGCACAGAAGGAAAGGAAGCAGTATCCATGCATCCCACTGGGGTGCATACTACCCCTTCCCTAAACCTCCCTGGTCCCCAGAGCCCTGCTCACCTCTCTCCCAATCCCCAGCCTGCCCTGTGTGAGCCAGGTCCCCAGGTCATGAATTATCTGCAAGCTGAGCTGTCCAGAGCCAAAGTGGGGAAGGGACAGTCTTCCCAGGGGGAGGGCACACCCTCAGGGAGGAGCGGAAGGGTGGGGTGGAATAAGGGCCTGCAAGAGCAGCCCCAGGCCTCGCTGTTCTCTATGGCTTTTTATTCCTATGTGATTCTACTGCTCACTCATATAGGGATTGGAGCCGTGGCGCACGGCGGGGACGGCCAGCGGAGGGCTCTGATACCCAGCAAGGGGGCCCGAGGGGCACCAGGAAGCGGCACCTCCCTTTCCCAACCAGGTTGCTGGTCAGGCCAAGGGAGCCATTTGTCTGTGGCTCTCCTCCCCACATGCCTCTTCTCCCACCAGCTGTGATGGGAAGGGGCAGGGGGCTGCTGGACCCCATCACTGCTCGGACCCACCATGCCAGCGCTGGAGACGCCCACTGAAGGGCTGGCACCAGGGTCTGGACTGTGTCCCCAGAGCGGCTGAAAGAACTGGGGATGTTCAGCCTCGGAAAATGGGGCTGGCATGAGGAAACAAGGTCCAGCATCTGTGTGGCTGAGGGTAGCCCCTGGATAAATAGAGGACTGGGAGCAGGGGCAGATTTCAGCACAACCAAAGAAGATAATGGTCTGTGGCTAAGGGGCAGCCAACGACAGAAGGGACATCCTTGGTGGCAGGTAGTGAATGTTCATTCAATGAGACATACAGGCTGAGGCTGGAGAGACCATGGTAAGGATGCCATAAGGGAGTCACAGCTGGCTAGGTGGCCAGTCACTTCCAGGCCTGTCCTCCCTGGGGTCTCTGCTTGTGCTCACTGAAGCTGTCAGGAGTCAGACTCCACCGGCACAGGCTGCAGAGAGACAGGCACAGGCTCCCATTTACATGAAACAAGTCCCAAGCACGCCTAGCAGAGAGGTGTGAGAAATCCCGTCAGTTCCTGGCAGCGTGGCTGCAGCCACAGCACACACCCCTCCCCAGCAGCTCCCCAGTGAGTCTTTGCTCTGAGGGAAGACAGACTGAGAACCCATAATGTGGTCCTTTTTATTTTCGGTCACTCTTGCTTCACTCCACAGGGAAAAAAAAAACAGGCTGAGAGGCTCAACACAGGGGCTTCCCAGGAGAGAACAGTGAACTTGCCAAGGGGCTTGTCCTGGTCCTCAGGGGTACCTGCTACCATGACATATGGGTAGAGGCGACCCCCACCTGCCAGTCAAGCTGGGAGGAATGGACATGCAGCAGAGAGGCCCTGAGTGGGAGGTGTGAGGGCCAACCGAGCAGCCAGGACTGAGGAGGGGAGGGGCCCTAAGGCCTAGTGAGGCCCTGGACACCAGCCCTGTCTGTCCTAGGACCCTGCCCTTGTAGGCCTCCTCTGGACTCCCAAACTGTGACCTATGCCATCACCGAGGCCTCAGGAACAAGAGGTGGATGTCCATGACATTGGTACCTGTCAGCCCTGTGTGCAGCAGGTGCGTCCCACCCTGAAGGCGGCAGAAGAAGGTGTGTGAATCATTGTGGGCTAAGAAAGTGGGCACGTCCAGGCCCTCAGCAGCAGCCTGGCTGGCAAGCTCAGGCACGACCCAGGCCCCAGCAGCCTCTGTGGGCCCATCCTGCCCATCACTGCCACCACTCAAAAACAGCATATCAATGTGCCCCAGGGGCCATCTGCCCAGCTCTGCTCCAACACGCAAGGCCAGTTCCTGGTTCCGGCCACCGTTGCCTGAGCCCTGCAGCAGCACTGTGGGCTCCCCACCAGCCAGCAGACAGACTGGGCCCCTAGCCTCTGCCACGGCTTCCAGAGCGTGCTCCAGCTGCAGGTCTGGGATCTGCAGCTCAGCTGCCAGCTCGTGGAGTTTTGTATCCTCTTCCACAGAAGCCCCAGCCATGGATGGGGTGAGGCGGGTTCCAGCCACCTGGGCCAGCAGCCCATAGAACCGGGCCACATTCTTCACGTCACCCTGCATGGCTGCACTCAGCACCACAGCCCGGTAGCCCAGCACCTCGGCCTGCTGCTGGGCCTCAGCCAGTGCCAGTGCATTGGAGCCAATAATCACATTGAGGACGTGACCACAAGAGTATGGCCCATGGGGGTCAGAGTCAGCCTGAGCCAGCACAGTCTTCACAGAACGTGGCAGGGCAGCACGAAGGCCATAGCGATTGAGGATATGCAGGCAATCTTGCACATTGTGGGCACTGGCCACAGTGGGACCGCTGGCAATCACCTCCACGGGGTCCCCCACCACATCTGACAGGATCAGGCTCACCACCTGAGGAAGAGCCACAGGGCAAGGCTCTGTCCCACCTCCTCCTTGCCCCAGAGCCCGTAGGGACAAATTGCTCCCTGGGCATCTACACACACTCATACCACCCAGGGCATGTCCTCACCCATTTCCAACCCCTCTCAGGTGGGCCTGCAGAACACCTGTCCATGCGGACTCCCCATCACCCTCCTTGCGGTCCCTCCCATGACTTTACCCAGCCAGCCCCATGGACTCTCACACCAGGGCCCTTCCAATTTGTATGCTGTTCTAGGCTTTCATAACCCTGGCACATGTGGGCCTGACTCCACCAAACTACCTGAGCAGGGTAGGCAGCCTGAGCCAGTCCCCCACCCTTGAGCTGGGACAGCGCCTTCCGAATGGTGTTCAGCTCCTGGATGGTGGCTCCACGGGCTGCCAGCAGCTTGGTGAGTGTCTGCTTCTCCTCCAGTGTGACAGGTGGGATGGGGGCGGGCAGCAGGGCCGAGCCCCCACCTGCAGAGACAGTGAAGGCATCAGACAGAAGGGACATCCCAACCCAGGGAACCAGACAAGCAGTGGTGAACAAGCCCACATTAGGAAAGGGGGGGGTTGGAAATGTGGGGTTAGGGTGGCCCTGTGTGGACATACAATATGTCCATGGTCATATTGCATGGTCAATATGTGCATGGTCACCACACATTGGCCACCTGAGGTTGTCCCCTGCTTTGAGGTACTCTAGGTCCCAGCAGGCAGTCAAGAATTAACTCTTCCTTAAGAGATGGGAATGGGAGCAGGGCAGGGAGCGACAGCGAAGGATCAATCAAAGGATCAATCGAAGGGTTCCAAGAGCTCGGGAGACCTGGGTTCTGGGCCCAGGTAACACAGGTGCAGACAACAACAAAAAGAGTGAGATTTTCTGAGGGCTCTGCTGATGGTGCTCTTCACGCACCCTCTCATCATCACCCAACAAGGTCAGTTCAGCGGGGGCTGGGGGACTCCACAGCTCAGGGGAAGCCAGATGACTGGCCCAAGGCTACCAGGAGTCACCATCCAGGCTCCTCATAGCTTCCCTTCTCCCAATTTCACCCTGTGGCCCTGGGGTCTCAGACCTGATCTCCCAAAGACCTGGTATTTGGAGCACCCCCTGCCAACTGTCTTGAGCCAATCTGGCACCCAGACCTGAGATGAGCACGAGCAGCAGGTCATCAGCTGTGAGTCCCTCGGCCAGCTGCTGGATGGCCTGTGCAGCACAAAGTGCATCGCGGTCTGGCAGGTTGTCCTCCGCACCCTCGAATACCTGGACACGGCTGTGCGGCTTCAGCAGCATCTCCCTGAGCAGGGAGAGAACAGAGAGCAAGAAATGGGGTGGGCTCCTCTCCTCTCACCTGATTTCTCAACTGTACAGGTGAAGGGGGCATGAATAAGGATGCCCACTGACACCTATCCTGGAGCCAAGCCAGACCCAGGAGAGAAAGGGAAGCTGGAGACGAGGGAGAGGCTCAGATCCCAGTCTGGGTCCGGGCCCAGGTTTCCTTCCCAGACAGTGGAAAGCAGCCTCTCCCCATATCCCCATGGCTCCTTACCGTTTGCCAGCATGCTCCATGGCAGCACGGATCCCCTTAGGAACGCTGATCACACCCTGCACGAGATGCTGGCCCAGTAGCTCCTCAGCTGCAGCTGCCATGCCCAGCACAGCCTTGCCAAAGCCCACTAGGTAGAGGTTTTGCTGTAGCTGAAAGCTCCGGTCCCGCACCTTCAGCTGTCTGCCACCAGGGTCCAAGGACAGTGCCCGGTGCAGCATGGGGCCCGGCAACACAGCATCCACAGCACTGTTGAACAGCTGCTGCGCCTGCTCTGCCAAGGCCATGCCACTGGCCAGCCGGGCCACTGGGACCCCCCAGAGGAGTGGACGCAAGGGGGCTCGGGCCACAAGGGGCAGCAACTGCAGGGCTGCAGCCATGCCCCACAGCTCTCAGCACTGCCTGGCACCCATGGCTGCCTATCGGAGAGAAAGCACAAATGAGGCCCTCGTAAGACAAGAGACAGGAGGGCCCCCACAGCCACCCCTCTGAGGGCTCAGGGTCAATGGACCCCACAGCTGCTGCTGTAAGAATGAGCCATCTGATAGCCCAAGGAGACTTCTTGAAGCCCACAACTGCCTGATCTCGCTATAGTCCTCAGAGACCAGCCCTGCCACCCAGCCATGTCCTCCCCTGCAGACCACATGCCAGCCCTCTGAACACTCTTGACCCAAGTCCAAAGTTCCTGTTAGCTGAGCCCTCCTCCTAGGTCACCCCCTTTGGCTGGGAGTTAATCATAAACAGAGGTAGCAATTCCTACCAGTGGGCTCCTGCCCTGCCTCTTTTCCACCCCCTGCACATCAGAGCCCTCACCCAGGGCAACGCCCCTTTCTGGTACTCCCTCCTTGCCTCTTTACCACCTCTGCTGCCAGGAGGCTCTTGATTGTCCCACCAACTTACCCCCAAGTCCACTGACATCCCACCTACTCTATTTCATTATCTCATGGGACTGGGATGGGGAGGCTGGTAACACTGGGTCTTTGTGGGGAGACTGCAGGCTCACCAAAGCACTGATAGCCCATGCCCAGAACACATTCTCAAGACACACAATCTGAGGAATCCCAGCATTCAGAATGACAGTCTAGCAAGAGGTTCGGGTTCAAAATATGAGTGGGAGAAAAGTCTGGGTCATGGTGGAACCATAGGGAAGTCCCTAGGCACCATCTGAGACCATGTGCCAGGAGGCTCAGTCTGGAGGACAGGAAAGGATGCCCTTCCACCCACATAGCTGGCCTCTTCTTGCTCTGAGATAACAAAACAAGTCCTGGGTCACACCACCCACATGATAAGAGCGCAGTGGCTGAAGCAGGCAGGCACAGGCCAGGCTCCTATAGCTGAGCCCAAATAGTCATTTTCCCCACTGGGCAGAGAAACCCTAGAGAAGCCTTGGGGTGAAGGTCAGGAAGCTGTAGAGGAGTTTAGGGACAATAAAGCCCAAAAGAGTTCATCTATAAAAATGCATCTTTTAAAATAAATGCCTTCCATAAATGCTGCAAACTGACTGCATCAGCAACTGTGGATAGAGCAGGGAAAGGAGGCTGGGAATTAGGGTTCCAGCTTTATTACAGGTTTTCTGAGTGGCTGGGATGCCTTGATTTCTCTCAGTGGGCCTCATCTGCTAAATGAGAGGTGGGTGAGATTAAGATTAACACTCTCCCCTTGACACCCTCAGGCTCTCTGATGCCGTCTACTGTAACACAGAAAACCCCAAACACGTTTATTTCACACCAAATAACGTGCCAACTTCTAAACCTTGGCCATTTAGTCTGTTTGGCTCACAGCCTTCCCATAAGAGAAGACTAAATAATATTCCCTGTGAAAAGGAACACAGAGGGTACTCCCACCTGGATTCTGAAAATTGCGAGGGGGACAGACCCCTGGGGCTTGCCCATAAGTTTTGGAGCTACAAGCGTCTTGGCATCTAAGAGGAAGATTTTTACAGCCTTGGTGAACTTCGTACCTATTTCCCTGATGGATAAAGGGGCCCTAAAGGATCCCAGCATTGCTACTGGATACTAGAGCCCAGGAAAGGAGGACGCTCAAGGCTAAGGTTGTCAGAGAAAATACAGGGCGTCCAGTTAAATCTGAATTTCAGATAAGTGATTTTTTAATGTATGTTCCATACAATATTCAGTACTTACTTATACTAAAAATTATTCGTAGTTTATCTGAAATTCAGATTTAACTGGACGCCCTGTATGTTTACTTGACAAATCCGCCAACTCCATTCAGCATACGGTCTTTCCTAAACCCCGGACACACAAGAGCGAAACGAGGAAATACCAAAACCACCGGACTCGACCCTTCTCGGCCACCCAGTGGCGCCTGCGCCACTTCCGGCTTCCCTCTGCCTGCAGGGGCCCGGAAGTGACGTAATCCACAGGCCGCGGCCTCGGGTCTTCGGGAGGGATGTGGCTGCAGTGTAATGCCCAGTAACGCGAGGAAGAACGGTCTGCTGCCACCTGGACTTGCCGTCGCCAGACCCAGAGATTGGTTTCGAAGGCCATGCGAGCCCTCGGAGAATGGTCTTACGGCCCCACGGTTCCCAGCGTTCGGGACCAGAAGTCTTTGAGGGCGGGTGGGGCGGAATCCGGAAGTGTGGGGTGTGCGGGGCGGAGTTGGGGCGGGTGTCAGGTGTGCGCTCTGGCGGGAGAGGATGTAGAGGAAGCCGGGGTGGGGGTTATTGGCTCCCTACTGACTTACCAAGAGACCTGGAAGGAGTCACCTTCAGGCTTTAGTTTCTTCATCTCTGCAATGGAGGTAATAATCCCCGCCTCACCGAATTGCAATATTCCTATGTCCTGTACGAACCAATCAGCAAACACACCCCGAGCTCCTGTTAGGTACCAGGCACTTGGTTGAGCAAACTGAGACTCACTGCTTCCCCACAGCCCACCCCTTCTGCAGCCAGATTGTCATCCTCGCTCCTCCCCATAGCTATAATCCCACAACAATTCATTGGTGTTCCTTCCTCTCCCCTGTGGGCCACCAAATACAGCCAGAGAGTTCTGTGCCATGATACTCAAACACACAAGCTGCATGTAAACAAGAGTGACTGTGGGCCTTCCTTGCTGTCCCTGCTCTCACCTTGTGCTCGCTGTGACGAAGGCTTGATGCCTTCCCACATTCATAAGACAAGTCCTGACCAGACTCCAAAAACGCAGAGGAGTATGCTGCATTTACTGATGATTTCTTAGGGAGATAGGGGAGAGAGTTGCATCACAAATCACATGACTGATTTCCTAAAAATCTTACTGAAATATATTTCTTACATCAACCTAAAATAATCAAAAGGTCCAGGATCCAGTGAAAAGAGTTTGTTTAAGTGCAGTGTGAGATTGTGTGTGGGGGGCGGACAAAAAAAAAAATAATATGTGTCACTTGTAGGAAGGTCAGGCAAAGAATGGTGATCAGTGCTTCCTGGTGTAGGGAAAGGTGAGGATCACTTATATAGGCAAAAACAGGGGTGCCAAACAGAATTACAACATTTTTCATACAAAGGCCAACATGTAGATTTAAGATCTGATTGACTACTATTGCTTACACTTTAAGGGGTTTACTTAACCTTCTATTGTGAAGAGGTAACAATCACAAGAGTCTCTAACTTTAGTCTAAGTTTGAACGAAGAATAGGGAGCATGGTTAATGTATAACATTTCAACACAAAAGTCAGGAAGCATTGGTCATGCACCGGAGAAGACAAAACAGCCATATTACTAGACCCAGTTTCCAGGGCTTAACTTTTCCCCTTGGCATAATAAATTTGGAAGGTCCTGAAATTTTACTTTGTTTTCACACTCCCCATCTGCTCCCTTTGGCAGTTGCCACATCTCTCCACAGGTCTCCAAACCATGCTCTGCTCTTATGAACTATCCTTCCCCCTGCAACTTCCAGCTCTCTCCCTGAATTTTTCTTTCTCTTTATAATAGAGGACATTTTATTCCCTCTCCCATATGATTCCCCACACCACCATCAAAACACGCACCTTGGGAAGGCTCTGTAATGTGGAGGAGATTGTAAATACTTAAAATTTCATAGTTTTTCTTTGCTTATAGTCAGCCATCTTTATCCATCCCTGCATTTATTCATCCCTCCATCATTCAACAGACATTTTCTGAGTGCCTTCTATATGGTCCCAATGCCAAAGCTGCTGGGAAGAGTAAGAAGTGGTACTTTTAGTTGGGAAACTTACTTTGCTTTTCTGTTTACATTCTTATAATGCACTTGGAAGTATAAATTTGAGCACTTTTCATTATTTAGTGATAGAAACTCTCATAAACAGATACCATTTACTGTGCCAGTGCTATTCTGTCAGACTGTAAGTAGGAGACTAATTGTACCCATTTTTTAAGCCCCCATTTCCACCCTGAAGCTACTCTCAACAATGCATTTAACAACGGCAAGGTTTAGATGCCCAGTGAACTGTGATCTGGAAAGTGGTGACTTGGTCTAATTCGTATTTGTATTTCTACTGCCCTGCCTATGACCAGGTGCAAATAGAAGCTGGAATTTCTCTTTTCTTTTCTTTTTTACTGAATTAACAAGAGAACAGTGAAGTGCTCAGCTGCTAAGTACTACAGACCCTCAGTGGAAAGGATTTCAGAAAAGGGAAAGAAATGGTGGTGGTGAGTGGAAGTAGAAGGCTTCATGAAGCAGTGGAATTCAGGTCTGAGAAAACAATTAGCTTTCTCGGAACGCTTACACATACCTTGATAGTGGAAATAAACCTACGTCTACAGTCCTTTTAGAGTACACTTTGGCAATAAGTACCAATATCAAACATTTGGCAATTTCACTCCAAGGAAATAACTGGGCATGTGGACAAAGATGGTGTAGGGGAAGAAAAACACTCTGACCTTCTTAGGTTCAGTGGCTGGGACCCTGTAAATTAAACTGACAAAAAAAACAGATTAACGGAGAAAAAAGTTTATTTCATAGCATATGGAGTGCCTTACAGAAATGAAGTAAAAACTCCAAAGAAGTGGTTAGGCTTGAAAGCTTATATACTATTTTTAACTAGGAGTGAAACATTGTGGAGACTGGACAAGACAAAAAGTGGCTTGAGCTTGTACAGGCAGTCAATTGTAGAAAGGTAAATACATGGGGGAAACTGATGGAAGATAAGGGTTGTTTTAGTAAGGTTTGTTTGTACAGATTCTTCTTGGCATTGATTCCCTGTCTCCAGTGGTAAGAATAGACACTTCTTCCTGGTACAAGGAGAGCACCTTTCTCATGGGAAATTTATGTCCTGGTTTTAGGTAGAAGGTGTGAACAGGGGGGTCCTTCCTGCATCTGCTATTTCCCAAATGCCTTCAGCTCAAAGTAACTCTTATGCCAAAGTGGCATGTTCTGGAGGGGTATAATTTGATCCCCTTCAATGGACGTGAAGAAATATTCAGCCCAGAGATTTTATGAGTATAAAGCAATCTAAATATCTGTAGATATGATAATTTATACAAGGAAATTACAGTACTTCTAAGTAGACATTTAAAATAATATTATTAAGGCTACATACGTGTTACTTTTTGAGATACCATTTTGTTAGTAAAAAACTGTTGAAATGGCCATTTAAGTAAATACAGAATATGAACTTTCCCATTATTCAAGCTGAAGGGAAGAAGGCAATGGGGGGGAGGGTTTACTGAATTTATTCATTCAAGTAAAGCTTTAAATTAAATGTACCCTTTTATACCAAAGGAAGAAGTCATTTCTGGGTGCCACTTTAAA